TAGTGTTCTCCGGAGCTTTCATCCATACTTTCTAAACTATTTAACAAGTGCTTATCAGAGTCTTGTTTTCCATCATGCTGGAAAACAGCATCTGTTATACCTATTTTCAAAAATTCCGGAGAGCGATCTGATTCATCTAACTACCGTCCCATTAGTCTTCTTCCTGTCATAAGCAAGGTTTTTAAATCTTTATTCAACAAACGCTTAATCTCTCATCTTGAATCAAATAACTTACTTTCTGATCATCAATATGGATTTCGGTCTTCTCGTTCTACAGCTGATGTGCTAACAGTAATAACCGATAGGTTTACCGTGCATTAGATAGAGGTGGAGAGGTTAAGGCTATCGCACTTGACATTTCTAAAGCTTTTGATAAAGTTTGGCATGCTGGTCTTCTCCATAAGCTTTCTTCTTATGATGTAGCTGATAACGTCTTTAAGATTATTGAGTCCTTTCTTTCCAATCGTAGTATAAAAGTTGTCCTCGATGGACAACACTCTTCTTCACATCCTGTAACTTCAGGGGTTCCTCAAGGTTTAATCCTTGGCCCTATACTCTTTTTAATTTACATTAACGATCTTCCAGATATTCTCACATCTAAGGTGGCATTATTCGCTGACGACACTACCATTTACTCTTGTCATGATAAGAAGCCTACACTCTCTGATTGCTTGGAGGGGGTATCTGAGCTTGAAAAGGATCTCACTTCTGCTACAGCATGGGCCTCACAGTGGCTGGTGAACTTTAATTCAGATAAAACTCAATTGTATTCGGCCAATCGTTATCGTAATAATTTAGATCTTCCTATATTTATGAATGGTAATGTACTAGATGAGTCATCTACCATTCATCTCCTAGGATTAACTCTTACTTCTGATCTTTCTTTTAAACCGTATATCAAATCCATTGCAAAATTAGCATCTGCTAAGGTTGCATCTCTTTATCGAGCTCGACACTTTCTTACTCCAGATTCTATTCTCTATCTCTATAAATCTCAAATCCGTCCCTGTATGGAATACTGTTGCCACATCTGGGGCAGATCTTCTAATGATGCTCTTTCTCTTTTAGACAAGGTGCAAAAACGAATTGTAAACATAGTTGGACCTGCTCTGGCAGCCAATCTCCAACCTTTGTCACATCGTCGTAATGTTGCTTCTCTTTCTCTTTTCTACAAATACTATAATGGGCACTGCTCTAAAGAGCTAGCGTCCCTTGTGCCATCTACTAAAATTCATTCTCGTGTTACTCGCCATTCAATTAAGTCTCATCCTTTTTCTGTGACTGTTCCTAAGTGCTTTAAAAACTCTTATTCTTCTAGTTTTTTTCCTCGAACATCAGTTCTTTGGAATTCGCTTCCTTCATCTTGCTTTCCTGATTCATATAATTTGCAATCTTTTAAGTCATCAGTCAATCGTTATCTTGCTCTACAGATTTAGTCTTTTCTCTTCCAGTAACTTCCAACTCTTATAGTGGTTGCTTGCAGCCTTGTTGGAAGTAAAGATGTTAAAAAAAAAAAAAAAAAGTGTAAGGATTCTTTTGCGATAAATAAATACTAAAATGCCCTTGGCATTATTATAAATGTGAGTTTTTATTTTGATTGGAACTGTGAGTCAGTTTCTTTTCTAGCCTGTTTTTAAGACAATAAAGATTCTTTTACAATTATAGGGACTGTTTGTTGATTGATGTGAGGAATGTATTGTATTATATAAGTATAAAATTTAAGGCTAATGCCCTAGCGCATGTCTTAGTTTAGAAAAGGGCTGCTTAACACTTTTAAATTTTATACTTGAGGAAAGAACTGTAAATAATTTTTTTTGTTTTCAATTTCTGGAATTTGTTTATCTTTTAGAAGTAATTGATTTTAAAAAATGGTTCGATATCTGCTAATAATTTTTACTTTATTTTTTATTGGGTTTAACTTTTTATTTAGTGCTGTATTAAATTTATAGTTGAATATTTATATTCATTTTTGGTATATATATAAATTTTATATATAAGTTTAAATAATAAATTCTTTATATATATATATATATATAATTTTTTTTTTTTAAGATTATTTTGCGCTAAGTGTAAGGATTCTTTTGCAATAAATAAATACTGATTTGCCCTTATTTTTTTAAATGTGTGATTTTCTTCTGATTAAGACTGTGAGTCAATTTTCTTTATGGCCCTTTTTTAATACAATGAAGATTCTTTTACAATTATAGGGACTGTTTGTTGATTGATATGAGGAATGTATTGCATTATATAAGTATGTCTAAGTGCCATGTTTAGTTTTAGAAAAGAGCTGCTTAAATCTTTTGAACTTTATAATTGAGAAAGGACCTGTTAATAGTTTTTTTTTCTTTTTTATTTTCTTTTTTATTTTATTTTATTTTTATTGGCTTGAACTTTTTATTAAGGGCTGTATTAAATTTATAGTTAAATATAAATTTTTTTTAGTTTTATAATTATAACTTATTACAATTAGTTAATACTATGAATTAGTCTATTATTGTTTAATGTTTTATGAAGGAAAATAGCTTACTAATAGGCAATAATATAAATTATATTTAATTTATGAGGTAATTCAACCGCTTTCTATTTTTTACATAAATAAGCTTTTTATTTAATAATTTTTTTGTATAAAATGAAACCAACCCTCTGCATTAGGAAATATGAAGTCTGCATTAATTTGCCTACCACATACATTTTTAAGTTAGCTATGCCCTAATGCTGAACCAAGTCTGTTGGCTAGATGCAACTGATTATGTTATAGTAAATGATTGTTTTCAGTGTATATATCCTGAGTTATTGTTTCTGTAGTATTTATTCTTGTAAATTATATATATGGATTGTTTAGCTTAAAGTCTAAAGATTGTTTTGCAATAAATAAGAACTGAATTGCCCTTAGGACATTTTTGAACGTTTGAAAGTTAGGTTTTTTCTTCTAATTGGGACAGTGAGTCAGTTTTTTTCCAAGACTGTTTTAGGACAATAAATATGCTTTTACATTTATAGGGACTGATTGTTGATTGATTTGAGGAACGTATTGTATTATATAAGTATAAATTTAAGGCTATTGCCCAAGCACCATTTTTTAGTTTAGAAAAGGGCTGCTTAAAACTTTTAAACTCTATGATCAAGGAAAGAACTATAAATAATTTTTTTTGTTTTCATTCTCTAAAATTTGTTCATCTTATAGAAATTATTAATTTTAAAAAATGGTTCGATATCTGCTAAAAACTTTTACTTTGTTTTTTATTGTGTTGAACTTTTTATTTAGTGCTGTATTAAATTTATAGTTGAATATTTTTATTTATTTTTAATGAAGCTTATATTACAAATATAGGGACTGTTTGTTGATTGATATGAGAAATGTATTTTATTATATAAGTATAAAATTTTAGGTTCATGCCTATGCGCCATGTTTTTGTTTAGAAAAGGGCTGCTTAAAACTATTTTGATTGGGACTGTGAGTCAATTTTTTTTGTGGACATTTTTTAAGACAATAAAGATTCTTTTACAATTATAGGGACTGTTTGTTGAATCATATGAGGAATGTATTGCATTATATATGTATATATGTATATATGTAATATGTATATGTGAATATATAATATGTGTATATATATATGTATATATATGTATATATATGTGTATATATATGTATATATATGTGTATATATATATATGTGTATATATAATATGTATATATGTATATATGTAAGTTCAAATTTAATGCCTAACTGCCATGTTTAGATTTAGAAAAGAGCTGCTTAAATCTTTTGAACTTTATAATTTTAAAAGGACCTGTTGATAATTTTTTTTTCTTTCTAATTTTTAGAATTTGTTAATCTATTGGAAGTTATTAATGTAAGGAAATGGTTCGATATCAGCTAAAATGGTTACTTTTATTTTTATTGGCTTGAACTTTTTATTAAGTGCTGTATTATATTTATAGTTAAAAATTAAATTTATTTTTTTGTTTTTTAAGTATAACTTATTACTATTAGTTAATACCATGAATTAGTCTATTATTGTTCAATGTTCTATGAAGCAAAATAGCTTACTATTAGGCAATTATATTCAAAATATGAGGTAATATAACAGATTTCTATTTTTTACATAAATAAACTTTTTTTTTAATAATTTTTTTCTATAAAATGAAACCAACCCTCTGCATTAGGAAATATGAGGTCTGCATTACTTCCCCTACCACATACATTTTCAGGTTAGCTATGCCCTAATGCTGAACCAAATCTGTTGGCTAGATGCAACTGATTATGTTATAGTAAATGATCGATTTCAGTGTATATATCCTGAGTTATTGTTTCAGTAGTATTTAAGCTTGTAAATTATATATATGTATTGTTTTGCGCTAAGTCTAAAGATTGTTTTGCAATAAATAAGAACTGCATTGCCCTTAGGACATTTTTGAATGTTTAAAATTAGGTTTTTCTTCTGATTGGGACTGTGAGTCAGTTTTTTTCTGAGACTGATTTAGGACAATATTTCTTCTTTTACCTTTATAGGGACTGTTTGTTGATTGATTTAAGGAATATATTGTATTATATAAGTATAAAATTTAAGGCTAATACCCAAGCGCCATGTTTAAGTTTAGGAAAGGGCTGCTTAACACTTTTAACTTTTATGATTGAGGAAAGAACTGTAAATAATTTTTTTTGTTTTTAATTTCTGGAATTTGTTTATCTTATAGACGTTATTGATTTTAAAAAATGGTTCGATATCTGCTAATAACTTTCACTTTATTTTTTTATTGGGTTGAACCTTTTATTTAGTGCTGTATTAAATTCATAGTTAAATATTTTTATTTATTTTTGTTATATATATAAATTTTATATATAAGTTTAAATAATAAATTCATTTTATATATATCTCTTTTTTTTTTCTCAAGATTTTTTTGCGCTAAGTGTAAGGAATCTTTTGCGATAAAGAAATACTAAATTGCCTTTAGGATTATTATAAATGTGGGTTTTTCTTCTGATTGGGAATGTGAGTCAATTTTTTTTCTGGACCTTTTTTAAGACAATGAAGATTCTTTTACAATTATAGGGACTGTTTGTTGATTGATACGAGGAATGTATTGCTTTATATAAGTATGTCTGAGTGCCATGTTTAGATTTAGAAAAGAGCTGCTTAAATCTTTTGAACTTTATAATTAAGAAAGGACCAGTTAATCGTTTTTTTTTCTTTTTACTTTTTAGAGTTTTTTAATCTTTTATAAGTTATTAATGTAAGAAAATGGTTCGATATCAGCTAAATTGGTTACTTTTATTTTTATTGGCTTGAACTTTTTATGAAGTGCTGTATTATATTTATAGTTAAATATTAAATTTATTATTTTAGTTTTATAAGTATAACTTATTACTATTAGTTAATACTATGAAATAGTCTATTATTCTTTAATGTTCTATGAAGCAAAATAGCTTACTATTAGGCAATTATGTTAATTATATTCAAAATATGAGGTAATATAACCGATTTCTATTTTTTACATAATTAAGCTTTTTTTTTAATTATTTTTTTGTATTCAATGGAACCAAATCTCTGCATTAGGAAATATGAGGTCTGCATTACTTTGCCTACCACATATATTTTAAGGTTATCTATGCCCTAATGCTGAACCAAATCTGTTGGCTAGATGCATATGATTATGATATAGTAAATGATTGTTTTCAGTGTATATATATCCTGAGTTATTGTTTCAGTAGTATTTATGTTTTGAAATTATATATATGGATTGTTTTGCGCTAAGTCTAAAGATTGTTTTGCAATAAATGAGAACTGAATTGCCCCTAGGATATTTTTGAAATGTCAGAAGGGCAATCACTATTTTAAATAATAAATTCATTTTATATATATATATATATATATTTTTTTTAAGATTTTTTTGCGCTAAGTGTAAGGATTCTTTTGCAATAAATAAATACTGAATTGCCCTTGGGATTATTATAAATGTGGGTTTTTATTTTGGTTGGGACTGTGAGTCATGTTTTTTTCTGGACCTTTTTTAAGACAATGAAGCCTATCTTACAATTATAGGGATTGTTTGTTGATTGATATGAGGAATGTATTGTATTATATAAGTATAAAATTTAAGGCTCGTGCCTATCCGCCATGTTTTTGTTTAGAAAAGGGCTGCTTAAAACTTTTTAACTTTATGATTGAGAAAAGAACTATAAATAATTTTTTTTTGTTTTTAATTTCTAGAGTTTGTTCATCTTATAGAAGTTATCGATTTTAAAAAATGGTCCGATTTCTGCTAAAAACTTTTACTTTTTTTTTTTATTTTGTTAAACTTTTTATTTAGTGTTGTATTGAATTCATATTTGATAATTTTTATTTATTTTTAGTATATATATAAATTTTATATATTAAGTTAAATAATAACTTTATTTTATATAATATATATATATATATATATATATATATATATATATATATATATATATATATATATATTTTTCAGTATTATTTTGTGCTAAGTGTAAGGTTTTTTTTGCGATAAATAATTACTGATTTGCCCATGGGAATATTTTAAATGTTTTAAATTGGGTTTTTATTCTGATTTGGACTATGAGTCAATTTTTTTTTGGGACCTTTTTCAAGAATATGAAGATTCTTTTACAATTATAGGGACTGTTTGTTGATTGATATGATGAATGTATTGCATTATATAAGTATGTCTAAGTGCCATGTTTAGATTTAGAAAAAAGCTGCTTTAATCTTTTGGACTTTATAATTGAGAAAAGACCTGTTAATAGTTTTTTTTTCTTTTTAATTTTTAGAATTTTTTAATCTTTTATTAGTTATTGATGAAATAAAATGGTTCGATATCAGCTAAAATGGTTACTTTTGTTTTTATTAGCTTGAACTTTTTATTAATTGCTGTATTATATTTATAGTTAAATATTAAATTTAATTTTTAGTTTTATAAGTCTAACTTATTACAATTAGTTAATACTATTATTTAGTCTATTATTGTTTAATGTTCTATGAAGCAAAATAGCTAACTATTAGGCAATTATATTAATTATATTCAAAATATGAGGTAATATAACCGATTTCTATTTTTTACATAAATAAGCTTTTTTTTCAATATTTTTTTTTGTATAAAATGAAACCAACCCTCTGCATTAGGAAATATGAGGTCTGCATTACTTTGCCTACCTCATACATTTTTAGGTAGCTATGCCCTAATGCTGAACCAAATCTGTTGGCTAGATGCAACTGATTATGTTAAAGTAAATGATCGTTTTCATTGTATATATCCTGAGTTATTGTGTCAGTAGTACTTATGCTTGTAATATATATATATGGATTGTTTTACGCTAAGTCTAAAGATTGTTTTGCAATAAATCAGAAATGAATTGCCCTTAAGACATTTTTGAACGTTTGAATTTCAGGTTTTTCTTCTTATTGGGACTGTGAGTCAGTTTTTTTCCGAGACAGATTTAGGATAATTAATATTCTTTTACATTTATAGGGACTTTTTGTTGATTGATATGAGGAATGTATTGTATTATATAAGTATTAAATTTAAGGCTAATGCCCAAGCGCCATGTTTTAGTTTAGAAAAGGGCTGCTTAACACTTTTAAATTTTATGATTGAGAAAAGAACTGTAAATAAATTTTTTTGATTTGAATTTCTGGAATTTGTTTATCTTATAGAAATTTTTGATATTAAAAAATGGTTCGATATCTGCTAAAAACTTTAACTTTATTTTTTTTATTGGGTTGAACTTTTTATTCAGTGCTGTATTAAATTTAATGTTGTATATTTTTATTTATTTTTGGTATATATATAAATTTTATATATAAGTTTAAATAATAAATTCATTTTATATATATATATATATATATATATTTTTTTAAGATTATTTTGCGCTAAGTGTAAGGATTGTTTTGCAATAAATAAATACTAAATTGCCCTTGGGATTATTATAACTGTGGGTTTTTATTTTGATTGGGACTGTGAGTCAAGTTTTTTTCTGGACCTTTTTTAAGACAATAAAGCTTATTTTACAATTATAGGGACTGTTTGTTAATTGATATGAGGAATGTATTGTATTATATAAGTATAAAATTTAAGGCTCATGTCTATGCGCCATGTTTTTGTTTAGAAAAGGGCTGCTTAAAACTTTTTAACTTTATGATTGAGAAAAGAACTATAAATAATTTTTTTTTGTTTTTAATTTCTAGAATTTGTTCATCTTTTAGAATTTATTGATATTAAAAAATGGTCCTATTTCTGCTGAAAACTTTTACTTTTTTTTTTTATTTTGTTAAACTTTTTATTTAGTGTTGTATTAAATTCATAATTGATTATTTTTATTTAATTTTGGTATATATTTAAATTTTATATATCAAGTTAAATAATAACTTTATTTTATATAATATATATATATATATTTATTTTTTTTCAGTATTATTTTGTGCTAAGTGTAAGGTTTTTTTTGCGATAAATACTTACTGAAATGCCCTTGGGATTATTTTAAATGTTTTAAATTGGGTTTTTATTCTGATTTGGACTATGAGTCAATTTTTTTTGGGACCTTTTTTAAGAATATGAAGATTCTTTTACAATTATCGGGACTGTTTGTTAATTGATATGAGGTCTATATTGCATTATTTAAGTATGACTAAGTGCCATGTTTAGATTTAGAAAAGAGCTGCTTAAATCTTTTGATTTTTATAATTGAGAAAGGACCTGTTAATTGTTTTTTTTTTCTTTTCAATTTTTAGAATTTTTTAATCTTTTATAAGTTGTTGATGTTAGAAAATGGTTCGATATTAGCTAAAATGGATACTTTTATTTTTATTGGTTTGAACTTTTTATTAAGTGCTGTATTATATTTATAGTTAAATATTAAATTTATTTTTTAGTTTTATAAGTATAACTTATTAATATCAATTAATAGTATGAATTAGTCTATTATTGTTAAATAGTCTATGAAGCAAAATAGCTTACTATTGGGCAATTGTATTAATTATATTCAAAATAGAAGGTATTATAACTAATTTCTATATTTTACATATGTTAGCTTTTTTTTAAGTAATTTTTCTGTATAAAATATAAACAGCCCTCTGCATTAGGAAATATTAAGTCTGCAATACTTTGCCTACCACATACATTTTGAGGTTAGCTATGCCCTAATGCTGAACCAATTCTGTTGACTAGAAGCAACTGATTATGTTATAGTAAATTTTTGTTTCCAGTGTATATCTCCAGAGTTATTGTTTCAGTAGTATTTATGCTTGTTAATTATATATATGGATTGTTTTGCGCAAAGTCTAATGTTTGTTTTGCAATAAATAAGAACTGAATTGCCCATAGGACATTTTTGAACGTTTGAAAGTTAGGTTTTTCTTCTAATTGGGACTGTGAGTCAGTTTTTTTCTAAGACTGATTTAGGACAATAAATAATCTTTTACATTTATAGGGACTGATTGTTGATTGATTTGAGGAATGTATTGTATTATATAAGTATAAATTTAAGGCTATTGCCCAAGCACCATTTTTTAGTTTAGAAAAGGGCTGCTTAAAACTTTTAAACTATATGATCGAAGAAAGAACTGTAAATAATTTTTTTTGTTTTAATTCTCTAAAATTTGTTCATCTTATTGAAATTATTGATTTTAAAAAATGGTTCGATATCTGCTAAAAACTTTTACTTTATTTTTTATTGTGTTGAACTTTTTATTTAGTGCTGTATTAAATTTATATTTGAATATTTTTATTTATTTTTGGTATATATATAAATTTGGTATATAAAGTTAAATAATTAATTTATTTTATATATATATATATATATATATATATATATATATATATATATATAT